GGCATCCACAGTCGGCTGGCAGCCGAGCAGCAGTGACGAATCGGCCCGCCAAAGTCCAGTCAGAAAAACTGTGCACAGAAGAGCTGCTCCGTAAAGACTTACTACACTTACACTGGGGTGGTTATAATTTAACTGTATTTATCATCTGTTGCATTCAGTGGACGTTGCATAGAGAATAAACAATGCTTCGTTTCCAAAATGGGACCCCAGTAAAGCGCCATTTCGGTGTTCCTACAAGGCACTGTAACACACGAGCCCAGCCGAGAGGATGACGACCCAGTAGCGAGCACAAGGAGCCACGGTAAAGGGAGAGGGCTAACAGTTACAGAGAAAGGCACAATAGCCCATATTCAGGCTCCCTCTTCCGCTCCCCCTTGACTGATTAGGGTAGATGAACGACTGTGTCACATTACCCTTGTAGACAGGCATACAAGGGAAACTAGACGCCGTCTGCTTCCCAATTTATTACTGGCCAATTGACAAATTTATATCTTACAACTGCAAAATTAATTCCTTAACTGAGGCCTACGATGTACACTGTACCTGTGCTACTTTACTATGAGGAACCCAGTATTTGGAACCTAATAGCGGTCTTCCTCGCCAGCGTTCCGACGAGTGAACAGGCCCAAATAATAGTAATGACTACTGGAAGTACTTCAGTATGTCACAGTTGAGTCTGGTTATAATCTGTAATGAGTGCCTTGTTCCTAAATGGAACAGGAGAATGCTTACAGATTTTTTTATTAGGGTTTTTTTTTTTCAACTTTCTGGCTACAAAAATTGTTGAAAAAACTTCATGGAGACACTTGCGATTTAGAGAAACGCAGAAGGGGATGAAAACCCTGAACAGCGTAAACTATTCAAATTAGTCCACTTAGTATTTCAAGTTTTTGCGCCCAAACATCAGATAAGACCGGTGTGAACGCTTAAATAAATCCCTTCCTCCAAAGGAGGATGCTAGCATAGCTGCAAAGGCTTGCTCGAGTGGTAGCCATCGTGCTGACCACACCACAGGTTTAGCGTGCATCGTTGAGCTGCCTTGCCACGCTAAGGATATGCTTAGCTCCCTTGTTCAGAAGTAAACTAGCTAGTTCAACACCAAGGTTCTCTGCAGCTTCCTGGGCCTGACCAGGGACATTCTTGGCTGTGATGCCAACGTGCTGCACATCGTCATTTGGTCCATCTTCGTTCTGCAAATACAAACACCTCAACATAAGGCAGCAGGAAGGAGCAGGCCGTGAATAGTTTAAGCCGTACATGAAACGGGGTAAAATCGGTGGTCTGAAGAGCCTCGAAAACAGTGCGCTGTTACAGTTTCCACAGAACCAGACCAAAAGCAAAAGAGAGATTTCAAATGGTCTGGTTTTGCAATTCAGCTTCAAGTTTGGATTTTGGCGCCACCGTGGTTCACGTACCTCTCGGGGATAATTAACACCGGTCTGCATAGTGTCCTTCAGGCTATCAGATCCATCCAAACTGTAGACCGCTCCTGTCAAATACAACTGGAAAAGACGTACAGAAGGGATTGGTACCGCGCTGACAAACAAACAGAAAGCCAACAACCCCCTTTTTTAAAAAAACACGCAACATACAAAGCTAAGTCCGGACGGGAACGCTTTTGTAGTGCGGTGGGATCAGCCACATATAAGAAAAGTAATCCCTGGTACAGAAGGTGTGCTTGCCAAGGCAAAAGCCAAACGTTTTGCTAGCTTCCCACCTCCTCAATCACACTCCATTGTGTAAGGTCAGAAGCGAGACTTTCAGATCCGAGGGCAACACTACCTTTC